CTATTGTTTGGTTTATGCTCCTCCCCAGTCTTTTGAACAGGAGTAGCAGTTTATCCCTTGTTTCCTGTTTAGGATTGGTTTCCTGATCTACTTCCATAAAATACTTCTGATGTCTTCAAGTGAACTCTGAAATGTTATTCACTAATTAAATCTTGACCACTTCAAGTCTAGACATTCCCCCAAGAACTTCACTTCTTGTCCTTTCTTATGTTCATACAACATAACACAGTAACCCTCTACCTTGAGTCGCTCTTGGGCCTTGTATTAGGTGAACATTAGTATAAAAACTGTTTAGTTATCATTTTTTTGATAATTTGGAATATAGAAGAAATAAGGTTGATTCAATTCTATGGCAGTTGCTGTCAAGGTCTGAACTGGTTGAACTAAACAATGGAGGTCATCCATTGAAATACTGATAGACTAGCATTAGTTTTTTGAAGTTGCATCTGTGGGAAAGAGGCTGCAGGGTGATGAAAAACTCCCCCCACCCCAACTGGACATCCTAAGTCTCTATCAAGGCTGGAATGTGAGGATTGAGTCGCTCCAGATATGACAGAAATACTTTTTGATTTAATCAGAGTTTTGTAAATATGAAGCATAGTAGCAGGATTTAAGTACTTCCTGGAGCGACAATGAGTGCCAACCCTTATCCAGTGTCTGGGTCATAGAACTGAGTTTGACTTGTGTTCTGGAGTGATCTTCATAATCTTCCTTTCCTATCACCTCTCCTTTGATTCGCTTATGGCCATATCATGTTGAAACTACTGTTTCTTAGATGATCACCGAATTTAAGCAATGTTGAACCTGATCAGTACCTAGATGGGTGACTACTTAGGAATACCAGATGCTGTTAGCTTGGTTGTATGAGTGGTGTAATGGATAAAAGTTTGGAGTTGTTAATTGGAGAGCAGAGTTCCAATTCCTGTTGGGTTCATTATATTCCCTTATGCACAAATACCCTTGGGAAAGGTATGAATCCACCACCGCTCCCTCCAGCTATGGGTTAATTAGTAAGACTTGTATCAGTAAAATCATTATCTCTAAAAAAAAAAAAAAAATCTCAAACTAAAAAGATGTTTTCTGGCTTTAAATAACCTGCAAAGTGTTGATAAGCCATAGAAAACAAATCAATCATTCAATCAATTCACTTAGATTCCTATCATACACTCTATCCATGATAAGCATGTAAACAGTAATCCTTTACCTTGAGTGACTCTTGAGCTTTATATTGAGGTGAAGTATTGAAAACAATTTTATAACACAAACACAAGAGACTGACATTTCACAGTGTATTGAAAATACACACATACATATATACAGGGCGTCCATAAAGTTCGTGTGCACTTTAAAGTTATAATTTTTTTAAAAAATGCACACGAACTTTATGGACATCCTGTATGTGTGTGTGTGTATATATATATATATATATATATATATATATATATAATTTATTTTGAACAATAAGAAAATATTAAAAAATTAAAATCTTCAGACACACTGGGTTGTAGATTAATATTCTTTCGTTTTTTTATTATTATTTCATTTAGATTCCTCGACTAGTTTCGGCCAAAATGGCCATCATCGGGAGAAGAAATATGTCTGCTTACTGGTAGCAGTAGTTTTTTCTGTAGTTTACTGCTACCAGCAAACAAATTTTTTAATATTTTTTTTATTGTTCAAAAAATATATATATATATATATATATATATATATATATATATATATATATGTCACCAGCAGGTAATGTCAGTTTTGTAAAGATGTAAAAATACATCTGCAGCAGTTAAAACATTTACGAAAGATGTTTATAAGCTGGCAGATACTATACTTTGTTTTGACTTTAACTCATTAAATATTAACTATTTATTCAATAAAAATAACTTTATTAATTTTGAAATAAATTTTTTTCTTTTGTATAGTAAAGTTTCCTATTTTATGACTATCAAGAAACTAAAATATAAAAGTTTATCATTCAATTTTAATTTCTATTTAAGATAAATTTCTGTCTTGCTACATATATATCATAATTTCTCAACAGTGTCCCAGTTTCCTTAATTCAATGGGTTTTTAGAATAATTTCCTATGCCTTACTCCAATGTATTTTTAGGACACCTTCAATGATCTGACACAATATTGTTCAGCATGAGCTGATCAACTCAGAAACCTTTTACTCTTACAAAACCTCTTAAGATTTAAAGCAAGAAAAACAATTTATGATAAAGATTTTTACTCACTCTGTTCATTTTATTTGCTGTGGAATCTGCTGATGAATTATTTTAGATAAAATCTACTCAAATTCGTTTGTTTTATCATTATCAATTTGTGCAGAAGTTGCCATGAAAATATTTGTAAAGTCAGAGGGAAGCCACATCAGTGAGAAGACTGAGGTCAAGATGTAAGGATTGATTACATTACAGACCCTTCTTTGAATTTTTTCAAGAATTCAGAGATATACAGCAGGAACACCAGACCAGATATAGCAGTCATATTCAATGCATGGGCAAATCATAGACTTATAAATGTGCAAGATGGATTTTAACAAAAAAACTTTCAGGCACAACACAGTGAACCAAATATCCTGGCAGTAGACATAGCAATTGATTCACTATAGTCATTCTACTTCATGTCAGTGGAAAAAAGGTGTAGTTTATTGCTTACCTGATGTTAAAATTTACAAGCTATTTCTTGCTGCAGCTAACCCCTGATTGGAGGTTTTTTTGAGAGCAGTTGCAACATTTACTTTGTTGGGTGTGTCGGACTTGCTACTAAGACAGGAGTAAATAGTTGTCATCTGCATAAATACCTAGTTGGAAACTGATGACATCAGGGAGGTCATTGAAAGGATAGGTCCAAGGATACAGCCCTGGGTCATACCCACATTAGTATGAAATGATCTGGAAGTGAGCTCGTTCAGCACAACTTTCACTACACTATTTGTTAGGAACAATTGGATTATGCTAAATATTCATCCCCTGATACCATAGCCCTTGAGCTTGCAGAGAAGGCCAGCATGCCAAAACCCTGTCAAACGGCTTTGAAGTATCTAGTGCTACAACTCAAACTTCACCATTGTTATCTAAAGTTTGACAGACAAAAGTGATTACTGTTAACATATCAGTGGTAGACAAAACCGATGATGCACTGTCTTCCTCTTTTGCCTTCAATATGCACTGTGAGTGTCAAATTGAATCTATATTGTAGCATTATACCAATCAGTCTAATTTCAGTCTATATTGTAATGCTATTCCATTGAATTACTACAAGTCTTGTTTGTCATGTTGCCTGCTATAAAATTTTGCATAATGATGTATCCGGAGATGTATCAATGATGTATACTAGAATTGATATTTTTTAAATACCATGTGCAATCAGGATATAGGCGGTCATGTCCCTCAACGGGCTTCCTTTACATTTAATATCCACAAACTGCCATGATTTTTTACGAAAGATAGTGGACTAATTTTCAGTTATCTTCTCTGCAGTTTTGAATTCAGTGTTGTTCTTCTAGAGTTACTGCAGTTCCAGAGCCCAGTCTACCCTTTTATTTCACTGTTGGTTTGGAGGGGTGATAAAAAGCTGGGTTCATGCCTTTCCCAATGGCATCATTGTGAAAGCAAATGCAAAAGACTGGACTAAGATTTGAACTCAGCTTGTAGATTCCAATTTGTGCAATGATAATCGTTACACCATCTGAACATTTAATCACAAAAGCAATAAAGAGCTGAATAAACACTTCTATGATCTCTTTAACATTGAGCAATAGATGCGCTGTGAAGGTATCTTGCTCAATTTTATTTATTGATATTAAGACTGATTTTGAAAGAATTCTCTTTTTCATTGACATTAAATGTATTCCAAGTCATTTTTTCATTCCATGTTCATTTTCAGAGAAACGATCAATTTCAGAAAGCACACAAAAAATTTCTTTCTCCTTATTCTTTTTCCAAAGCAACTGCTCGAAGGATACATTATTCTAACATTATTATTATCCTGGAAATTGGCTCTATGGAACCTTGTTAAAACCCAAGTTTAAGGGATCTGTTTATCAATTGTGTGTAGCTTGCATATGGTTTATATACCTTGGGCAGGGCTGGATTATCCTTGAGGCTAGTTTTGGCTGCAGCCTCAGATTCAAGGTCGGATTATCCTTGAGGCTAGTATAGGCTGCAGCCCAGGGCCCCTCAAGCTTTTATAAAGCAATGATTTCAATTTCCTAAATGTTATAACTTTTAAATAGTTTCATAAACTAAAATGATATCAATATGACAAACTCATATTTATTGACTTTACAGGAAGCAAAGCAAGGAAAAGAATGTTTTAGTTTGTGTCCTTGTGTTTCAAGTAGAGAACATGTTTGTTTTTAGTTCAGAATGTTTAAATCTTTATAAAGCAATCATTTTAATTTTCTAAATGTTATAACTTCTAAATAGTTTCATAAATTGAAATGATATCAATATGATAAAATCATATTTATTTTCATTGTTTTTTTGTTATACTAGTGGTTATAAAATGTTTTTTTTTTTTTTTTTTACTATGGTTGTTTTGAAATATGCCCCACTTTGGTATACCATAAATAGTAAAATGGTGATATTTCTTAAAGAATATTTTTATTGGCAAACAAAAGATAGCTATTCTAGTTTAAAGAATTTGCAATAAATTTACTTCATGTTATGTAAATGTCACTAAAACATATCACAAGTAAAAAAAAAAAAAAAAAAAATATTCAAGATATGTGCAGATGAGTTAGTTGGTGTCTTCATCAAGATGGTGGGGGTCATAATTTCATTAGCCTAGCAGCCCCCAAAATGTCATAATCCAGCCCTGTTCATGGGGATTGCTTTTGCTTGTGTTGTCGTCTTATGCATGACCAGCCTTGTAGTACATAATTTTCTACTTGGCATGCATCTTTGGTTGATGTATTTGTGTTGTTGTGTGCTGTGCTGTCGTGTTCAGTGTAAACTTTTTGCATATTACTATTTGTAACCCTCCCATTTTTGTAGACGGAGTCGTTGAATTACTGCGATCCAGCTAATATTCAGAGTACTGCTTGGCTGACTGGGGTGAGTTTCACAAGAAAATATAATTCATTTTTCTATTAAGTAATTGTTTTTTTTTTATTATTATTGATGCAGGTTACATAGTCTTCTAGTCATGCTGTAATAAAGTATTAAACAAGACCATAAAAACATTTGTTTTAATTTGGTTTAGTCATCATTATAAATACATGTAGATGGATTTGAATCATAATAATATTGCATGCATTTTTTTTTTTAAATGAGTTTATACTAATTTTAGGTGTGAGAGGATTTGCAGATAAAATGTATTTGAAAAGCCATGAGGCAAAGAGTTGTCATGTCTATTCTACTTTGGAATATCAAAAGTAGAAGAAGGCGAAAATCACATCACAGTGGATCAAATAAAGTGTTTTCTTTGGCATTTCCTGCAAAGGACATTGGATATGACGCAGAGAGAAATGAGGTACACTAGTGGATCAAATAAATGGTTCTCTTGGATATTCTGTAGGAAGGGAATTGGATGTAACAGTGGAACCGCTCTGGTACAAATAATGTTTTTTGTTTAAAATCCTTTGGAAATTACCAAGGAACATCAGAGAATAGGATGGCTGAAACATCGTAATAAGTTAATAGTTACAACAACTTTCAGAATGTCAAAACAATGGAAATTCACTTGATTCAATGACCAAAACACTGTAATAAAATCAGTAAAGATGAAGAAAACTATTCAAAAGAAACAATCCATAATAGTAAGAACAACATAGAAATTCTGACAAAAAAAAATGGCTGGGAGGGTTCAATAGCTGCAAGACAAGAAAAATGAGGTAATGGTAATGTTAGCCATGTTCATTAATGTATTCTCATAAAGCACACTGATCTGATTAGTGGCCAGTTAAATGACTGTCAAATTCTGTACATTAACTAAGGGGAGAAAATTCATCCTCTTTATCATATCTATTTCTTGGTAATGATATTTTTTTTCTTTTATATTAATAATAATAATATTTTTAAGTTCAAAGCTTTAAGCAAAGAACTGTATGAAATGACAAACTACATCACTTGAGGACTTTCAACAGCAGCAGCAACTAAAATGGATAGCACATGTAACTCAAAGAGAAAATAATGACATAATCAAGATGTTAACATTCCATACCACTTCAAATAAAAGGTTAGGAAGGAAACCCCCTATGAATACTGGAAAAAGTGATAACAGCTACTGGCCTTGAGAAACCTGTTTTTCTAAAAAAAATTGTCTTAGGAGAAAGATTTCATAAATTTAATCCGAAAGCATTACTGGCTTCTTGGTCAATGAATACCAAATGTTTCCTTGTAGGTAAATGGCTAATATTACCATTTGGCAATAATGGACACAAAGTAGCCTTTTTTGTCTCACCTGAGTTATTTAGTTTTCATACAACCAATTCTGCAGCTCAAATTTTGCCAATAAATTATGGTTTTTACATTCTATCAAAACTGGAATATCTGCATGACACATGACCTTTAAAAGTTACAGTCGGAGCTTATGGGCAGAGTGAGAAAGTTTATATTGGGTCTACTGAGCAACCATTTAAGTACAGAAGCAGTGCAACCCCTTTTGAGTAATTTGTGAGAGTCTTAGGAAAAGTATAATGAATGCCCATCAATTAAGTGGGAAATAATTTTTTAAAAAGTACCAGTTACAAGAACTTTGACAGATTTGGTAGGCCTTGCATGGAAGAGAAATCAGCAATAATGACGTATCCTGAGCTGAACAAGTTATTAAATGCCAGATCGAAGGTGTAAGCTGAGCACCAGTACTTAAAGAAGTACTGACTGGTACACTTGGCCCTGGATTGAGAAAAGAACGGATCCTCCTACATCCTGTCCCGGCCCGTACACCTTCAACCTCTTGTACCACACACACACACACACACACACTTAGTCATGATGCATGTGGATCACCTTTGGCTATTTAGTAACTATTTCATATACTATTTTGCACATTCTGCCACTTGCAGCCTGATGATTTCCAAAATGAAAGCTTACAAGCTAGCAAGTTCCTATACAGTTTATTTGTTTTAATGCAATCTTAGATTCCTCTGTTTCTTCAAAAAGCACTTTTGTTTTTATAAGGCTTAATTACTCTGCACCTATTGGTTTATATATATATATATATATATATATATATATATATATATATAAAAACAATAAAATCCCTAATCACCTCATATAAAGAATAGCCTATTTTGACAGATGAGGATATTAGTCGTTTGTCTTATCAACCCTGGTTTGGACTGAGTTTGTGTCAGAAATAGAAATTTAACTGTGAAAGCTAAAAAAAAAACCAACAGAGTTGAAAAACTAATACAGAATTTATCCATTTCAATATTTTGATCAGACACAAGGTACGAAGCAGGGATCAGAGGAGGGTGGAAGGTATTTGTCTTAAAAGGAAGAAGTTTTATAAAATTAAACCCAAATATTAACCTTATGACCTTAATTTGGGGTTATATGAAGAATAAAATATTAATTTAAAATTAAAAGAGGAATAAAAATGGGTTTAAAAATAATTTTAAAAATATATAGATAAAAGGATGTAAAGGATTAATGGAAAGAAAGTTGGTGGGGGTGGGTGATCTTAAAATAGGGAAATGTTTATAAATTATAAATAATATAGTGTAAAGAGGATATAGATGTTGGGGACATTTTATATATATCTATATCTATATATATAATATATATATATATATATATATATATTTTATTACTTAAACATTATTTTTAGTGAACACTCAGATTTGAGTAGATGCTCTGTATTTATTTTCATCTGCCAGCCTGAATATTCAAGAAATCTTATTAGAAAAATATGGGCACTCCAGCAAGATTCGAACCTGTGTTTCTTTAAGGGAAACTGTCATTACATCTGACATGGTTTGATCTCTTGGCTACAGAGAACCTGATAGCCAAGTAAAGCCCAAATTGTGCTTTTAAATACAAATTTTTCCCCAATTCTTGAAATATACATCTCTGCTCAGTTTTGTATACTTAGATAAATAAAGCATGTCAGATTAATAATGGAAAAATCCATTCCTAATATATATATATATATATGTATATATATATATATATGATAGCTGGCCACTCATATTCGAGGATACCTGTCTACTAGGGTAGCTATCCACTCCCTATTGCAGGCCCTTGCTCAAGGCACATTTGTGTTCAACACCCACAGAGCCCACCTGTAGTTTATGCATACAACTGCGCTGAGCATACCTTAGTTACAGTTTCTGGGAGAGAATGTGTTATCTAGAATGAACAACACCAGCACACTCAACACCTTGGTCACAATGACTTGTGACTTCATGTTAGCACAGCTATCGATGGACCCAAGTGTTCCGTTTACCCAATTTGACTCATAAGGCTTGGGTCAACCCGTGGTATAGGTTTTCAGGCACTTTCCAAAGGAGCCGCATGGTGGGATCACCCCCACCTTCCAACCTCTTCAGTCCGAAAACATCAGGAAGTCTCCTTCCTGACAAATTGGCCATGGTGAGATTTGAACCTGGGTCTTATGGTCAGAAAGCAAATGTTCTAAGCACTCAGCCACAAACAGTATTTAGAAAAATATGATAAACTGGAAAATTTTTCTAAATACTGTTGATATATGAAATCATATAGTTTGTTATAACATATATATGGTGGACTCTCCTGTCATATTCGACATATGAGGGTCAAGTAGCTCAGTTCCTAGGAACCTACAGACCAGATACCAGCATATATCATTTGATTATAGTGATGAAAGCTTTGTGCAGAACCAACCACACTTTTTGAATGGCCAAATACAGACACCTGATACACTACGTACCACAAGGTCCCCAAACGACCCTTCACAGGTTTTGAATTCAGAGTTGTTTTTCTCCTAGACCAGTTGCTATCCAATGCTATAGAACCCAGTCTATCCTTCTATTTACCTGGAGGGAGAAGAAAGAAGGTTATTACCTTTCCCAAGGGTATTAGTACATAAGTGAATGTAATGGATTCGACTGGAATTTGAACTCACCTCTCTGATTCCTCAATCCGAGCAACTATCCACTACTCCACCGTGCATCCTATATATACACACACACACACACACACACACACAGAGGTGCTATAAAAAGATACTGGAAAACACAACAAAAGAATTTGTAGATTCACCACATTACAAAATTCATACAAAAGTTCTCACTTGAAATATTTGACCTCTAGCATTGCGACTTGTACATTCCAATATTATATAACCATTAATAAATAACACATTCTTAAGAAAAACATCTTTCGGTCTACAATACATTTATTTCCTCTTGGTGTTTTATTTCTAATGAAAAAAATTACAGCCTGACGATGAAAACATGCAGTTTTCAAAAGTACTTTTGCTGCACTAAAAATACACCAAAGCCATCGGACAACAATTTTATACGTAAATATCATATCAGTCAGTGGATTGTTAGTAACTTAATGCTTATGTTAAGTCTCTTAGCAAAGAAAATTCACGATTAATTACAGTAATATTACTAAATGATTGTTTGATTACCTCTTTATAATATATATATATATATATATATATATATATATATAGTAAAGGTAATAAATCCATTGGTATATAATTCAAGTGGATTCTAGTAATATAAATTATTAAAACTGATTCACAAAAAGAGCTCAGTTGAAGAAAACATTTTCATAAACAGATAGATATGACAAATTCATATGAGGTAATTTTGTATTTTATTGTTTTTTTTTTTTTTGTGTGTATTAGTATGTGTTTTTGAACATAGAAATATTTGGTCCTTGTGAAATGAGACAATCGTTATATTCATCTTCATATATTTATATTTGATTTTAAATTTTAAGTAAACACAATTTTTATTTTCCTTCGTCCCATCCCTCTACCCCACCCTTTCCCCTTTTTTTTTTTTTCCTTCCTATCCGAATTGTCTGTGGTGTGTGTATGTCACCACGAAATGTATCTTTATGTATTAGACATCCGTCGACTTTCTTTCTCTCCTCTTTTAAATCCACCCCACCCACATCTCCAAAAATTCTCTCTGTCACTCATCCTCATACTTACACTTTCTCTAAATTCTGTTTTGATTTCGGAGTTGTTTTTTCTGTTTTTTTTTTGAATTTGTAGGTCTGATGATTTGGATCGTATTTACGATTCCAATGGAATAAATTATGACCATGGAATATTAGTGTTTAATCCTTTTTATTATATATATATATATATATATATATATATATACATACACTCACACATACACACAGAGTAGGCATCCATTAATCTCGTGACATAAAGGTAGCACTGTATCGTTTTAAATTCAGTCCTCTGATGGTGAGACTAGAGTGACCTCTCCAGAGTGGTGCTGAGCTGAGCATTGATATATGGAAGTTGTGCACTGCCCAGACTACATACCCCACCTCTTGGCCATATGGAAGGAATACAGAACATTTGGGGATGGCTTGGCTGCAGGTGCTGGAAAGTTGTCAGTGTTGACAGCCAACTGTTTTTGGGGCTCCAATCCAAGTTTTCTGTCTGGATTTACTTCCATAACCATTTCTGTATTTTGGATATGACCACAAGGCAACAGAGCTTTAAAATCATGATTTTTCTTCCCCAAGATGGATGTCCTTCTTGGACTGACAAACTCCATCTACTCCATGGTGCCTCATAACAAGCTGCTTCATGGTTGTCATAGCCAAAGGTGATAGTGAGGAAAAGCTTTCTTTCTTTTTATGTGCCATGTTCTTTCAGGACGTAGTCGATCATGGCTCTCCACCTCCCTCTATCTCTTGCAACTCTCAGCCTGCTCCTTCCCTTTGCTTCCTCCCCCAGACAATGTTCTGTCATCCACCTGCTCAAGCTCATCATGTATGCTACGCACTGCTTTCCCTTGTCTCTCTTTCCCCTCTATTCAACCCGTGAGTATCAGATTCTCCAGGTCTTCCTTCCTCACTATGTGTAGCAGAAACTTCAGCTGCCTCTTCCTGATGTTAAGCATAAGCCTTCTCCTTGTTTGCATCCTCTCTAAGACCTCATCATTAATCTTTGAGGAAATTCTGTGGCATGTGTCTGAAAAAGCCTCTTGCAACTAAGTCCAGCTCCAAGTCGAAGAATAGACAAAGGTGAGCATGGCACACACACACACACACACACACACATATATATATATATGTATACCCGAATGTAATGAGAATGAAAATAATGTATAAATTCTAACATTCACAGCATTAATTCAAAAGAGAGCTCAGTACCGATAGTAGAGCAATAATTAGTTATTATAATTTTTTCATATAGACAAAAACAATATACTCACAACAAAGATGCAACTTTGTTTTGGCGCATTTAATTGCACCTCGACTGGTGAGAACCAATAAATATATATATATATATATATATATATATATAAAATCATTAATTAAACCAATAGGTATAAAATAATTGTGTCTTATATAAAACTTGTACACAGTTTTATTAAATTCAGCTGACAAAGTCCATTTTTCATTGTATTTTTCCAATTTTCAAATAAGTTTTTGCTCATCCAGATCATAATTGTGATTAAACTTTCTTGTCCATGTTGTTCTTGTTATTTTAAGTCATATTCTCCATGTTGACAAACAGTATAAAATTTGAAAATCATTACACTAAGTCATAAGTAATTTCCAATTTTGGGAATCAATTGTAAAGACAAATATATCATCCTAAATACTAATCATACATGACAGTTAAGGATAAATTTGGAGTACACTATCATTCTACAATATTTAATACAAAAGACAGTCAATTGACAAAGATAAATCTTCACAACTGACCCTCAAAAGCTGAGCTCCAGAGTCTGAAAGTAATGCTGTATGTATGTGTATTAGGAGGGTCACCAGGGTATTATTCATTTAGAGTTTTTAAAATGCAGTGAAATACTAAATGTACATTTTTACATTCAGCAGCTGCAACATGTCCATAAAAGTTTGGTCAAAAAGCACCCAGTGCTTGTCAATAGGAAAATGTCATTCTACACCATGTTAATGGAAGCTGCTTACAGAACCAATTATAATGATGAATGTATCCATCTTAAGTACTAATGATAAGTGGCAGTTAAGAATCAATTACACTAACATATCTTAGTTTTTAAATGTCAATGACACCATACACAGCGGATTAAAAGAAAAATGTTCTTCCCCTCTATGATAACACATGGATGCATACAGTAGGAAAAAATTTTGAAACTTGGTTAGTCTGTTCTATCTCACCTGTCATATTCATCTGACCTTATGCCAAAAGATTATTACATTTTTCAATGGCTGTTAAAACACTTTGATGAAGAAAACTTTCTCTAAGGAAAACCAGATTTAAGAGTTTGGTGAAAAAACTTTTTCAGATCAAAATTGCAGAATTTTACTAAAAAGGTATCAAAAAGCTGCCTGATAATTAGCAACAAGTCATCGCAAAGAATGATGAATATATAACTGAATAAAAAGTAATTGTACTTTATTTTTTAATAAAGTTGCTAAACAAAAGAGGAAATTATTTCTGACTTAATATATGATTGAACAGAAAGTCTTCAGGCTTTATAGGACTTTATTTGTTTTGAAATTATTTGAAAATAATGGTGAATATCTAATCAAATGAAATGTAATTGTGCTTTATTTTTTGAAGAGCAAAGTTCATAAACAAAAACTGAAGTTTTTATGACTCAATGAAATAAAAATGATATTCCTCTAACCTTCACACATGTGTACATTTTATCCTCTGACTTGGAGGTTTCTTATAAGAAAAAACTTTTTTTTTTCTCTCTAAATTTCACAATGAATTGTTCATTTTTATTTCTTACTTCAGACAATGGACACATCGTACAGTTATGATCAGAACATTGGTGGTGCTCCAGCTGTTTTGGTAAGTGACCAGTTTTCTCTTTGTATTATAAATTTTCCACCAGCTTCACATTGAATAAGACAAACTGAAAATACGCAAAATTATAATAGTTGATCATAAAATAGAGCATGGTTCAGCAACCTTGTGCTGATTATGTGCCAACTTAAGGTTTTAAAATCATTCAGTGTGCCAACAGCATACATATTTTTATACAAATCAAGGTCAGTATCTGTCTATATTTCTGAGATGAGGTATTATGTATACTATTTACATTATTCGGACTATTGTCCTCATCTTTGTTGCCATGTTTATCACAACATTTCAGCCGTTATGTGAAGGGGTTATCAGAGAAAATACAAAGGATCTGTGGTCCATATAACATCAGGGCAACCTTCAAAAGCAGGAAGACACTTTGCAGATATCTCTCCCGAATAAGAACCCCCACCCATAGAGGAGAACATGACTAAAGACTGTGTGTACGCTATCTTGTGCAGCTGTGGAAAGAAATATAAAGGGGAGACAGGCCACTCCCTCAAGGTAAGGCTTCAAGAACACCAGAAAGCTGTAACACGAGAAGTGGAAAAATCAGGCATGGCTGACCACATATGAAGAGAAAAGGGAGATCACTGCCCTCTGTGGGATCAAGACAAAGAACATCATTGGAAAATTCATAAACTTAAGGAATCAGCACATATGCTAGGCCACAAAAATCTCCTGAGCCGACCAAGCATAGAAATGAATACAATATGGGAACCAGTAATAAGGAGTGCCAGAGAAAAGCGATAATAACAATAAAAATTGCAATATGAGCACTGGTAAAAAATGATTGCTGAAGACATTATGTTTATAATACCCAGGACACATGACACAGTGGATAAAGGCATTAGTTAGATCCAGTGACAGGACCCAAAGAGTGTGAGTTCAATACCTGGTTAAGGCAGTGGAGAACTTTCAGAGAGGAATTAACAGGCGATAACTGACATCCATTAGACATGGCACATGGAACTCAAACAGTCTACCCCAGTGAGTGAAATAAAGGGTTCAGTTCGACATTCCAACCACCGTCCAAAACTTTGTGATAAACATGGCAACAAAGATGAAGACAATAGTCTGAATAATGTAAAAAGTCAAGGTCAATATACCTGTTCTACAATATATTTTATATAGTAATATATACAATATGTAAACCACATTAACAGAAATAAACTGTTTTTTAAGTTTTTTTTAAAGTTCTTATTGTTAATGGGAGTCCAATGAGTGAGCAGTTTTGAAACAGCTAAATATCTCCTTTGCGTTATAGTAGTTATTGGTTTGGACTTTGTGATGTCATTTGCAGTTGTGTGCCATAGGTTGCTGATCCCTGAAATAGAGGATTATTTTATTTATAAAGTAAACAGATTTGGGACTCTCCATTATATGACAAATCAACTGTGTGGATAAAGTAGGGAATTGCATTTGTTACACATGTTGCTATTAATGAGTTGGCTTGATCAGTGTATTTGACACCATCTTTTTTCTATTTGAAATTTGAGCATGGATTAAAAAAATTCTGTATTTGTGAAGAAGAATGACTTCAACATTACTGATGGTTATTTCATTGTCTGTTGTAAAAAAAAAAAAAAAAAAAAAAAAAGAAAGATTTAAAAAATATATTTTAGAAAAATTTCTTCAAAATTAATATTTGGCACTATCAAAAAAAAGTACAAGTTTTTTTTCATGCATGTTGAGATGAACACATTTATTACTGTTGACTATTACATACAGGAAATGGATTGATAGATAGCATATTTCTTCAGAGCTGATCGTTAGCTTGCCATAGAATAATTACTATTAACAGTACAAAATTAACTGTGTGCCTAGAATAGGGAATTATATGTGTTACATGTTTCTGTTAATGAGTTGGTCTGATCAGTATATTTGCCATCATTGCTTTTCTGTTTGAAACTAGCATAGACTAAAATTCTTATGGCCATATCACGTTGAAACACCGGTTCCCAGGTGATCATCGAAGTTAAGCAACATTGAGCCTGGTCAGTACCTAGATGGGTGACCGCTTGGGAATACCAGGTGCTGTAAGCTTGAATGTGTGGGTGGTATAATAGATAATAGCTTGAAATTGTTAATCAGAGAACTGAGTTCCAATTCCTGTTGGGTTCATTATATTCGCTCACACACACACAAATGCTTTTGGGAAAAGTATGAATTCTCCTCCCATCTATGGGCTAATTAGTAAGACTTGTATTACTAAAGCCATTATTATCTCAAAAAAATTCTTACAATCTAAAAATATTTTATCACTTTAAATAACCTGTAAAGGGTTGATGACCTGTAAAAAATGAATCAATCAAAAGATCGAAGGTAGTTAAGTTGTTTAAGGCATAAAATGGCTTTATTTGAAAAACTATGCACTTTAATTATGCAATGCCATCAACAATAGACTCACTTCTTTTTAAGATCACAATAGTCTGGATTGGAAAAAATAACAGTTTCATAAATCCTGCTGAATGTGCAAATTAATTATCTCCTATATATATATATATATATATATATATATATATATATATATGTTGGTAGATATAAATAACAAAAACCTCTTTATTTGTGGGTTTAAAATTAATAATATAAGCTCAGTTGATCATTCCTTCAGGCAATACCTCCCCCCTTGAGTGGGGGCTAGGTTTAATCTCTGGTGATTGAGGCATCCCCAAAAACAAAAATGCCAAGAGGATTTGAGCAGTTTTTCTTGTTAGTCGATGTATTTGTGGACTCCTACTTTAAACTCAATCTTGTGTCGCATTCTGTTCAAGTGAGTGTATTGATAAATATCCAAATGTTCAGTTCCAGGACCCTAACCCTTGGAGGTCATCCTGGGGGTATCACAATAAACTACATCCAGCAGCAAGGGCTCTGATCAGGAGGTTTTGAACTACCTTTTAACTACTGTTGTTCCCAGGTCCACCCTAACCCAGATTGGTAGCACCTGTTAGGGTCCCAACTATGGGCAAATAGTTAACCCCTAAACTGGGGCCAAAACATTATAAAAGTATAAAAATACCAGCAATACATTTTTGTAAATAAAATTACTAATGCTCTCAAGAAAATTAAATTTTGGCATTAAATGACCCATAAGGAGTTGATGTGCTGCTAAGCAAACAAACCCTATCCTTGGTGGGATATTTCCCTGGGCTTATTCCAAGTCCTTCTTTATGAGATTACTCAAGTTAATCCAATGTTCCAGAGGCATCTCCAAAGGGTAGATGCTGAATGAACTCAGTTTTATATCCCTAGCCCCATCTATGCATGGGACTCCCACTTTAAACTTGGCCTTGTGCCATATCCCATTGAAGTAAGCATCATATTGTAATTCTGCTTGTTCCTTAGTTAACGTATACATTACACCCTGTCATTACCTCAGATAGACAATGGCCCATTCCGGTTTGATTGTGACGATAGGCAGAAAGAAAGATCTATTAAAAGTGCTGATTTTATGGAAAGGAAGGAAAAATAGAAAGAAAGGGAAGATAGTGGGGGGGCGATAATGCTTCCATGTGTTTAACATCTGCTTCAGTGAAATGAAAAATCTTGTCAGTTTTGAATCTCTTCATTTGTACCCTCTTACTTCTTTAAATAATTACCTGCTTCATATTTATAATTGTTAATGTGATATTTTGTTAAAGTTGTTAAACTCAAAACTTTGTTGATTCAATTTCCATGGGGGAATTTCCACGGGTATTTTATAGTCATGGAACTTGTAAGGAGCTTATTCATTCATTAACTTGAGAATTATGATTCATAAGAAAATTCAAATAGATTAAACATGAAATAAAAAAAAAAACAAATGTTCTATCTTGGAAGATGTGGGACAACATATTGAAATATGATGAAAAACAATGTATAAGCCAAAATAGATTGAAAACCATTGTTTTACATGTCTTAAAAACCTGTTGTCTTGACTCTTACTGTTCTATTCATGATTCTCTTTATATCTTGAAATATGACCAGCAGGGGTGTATAAGCCAAAATAGATTGATAACCATTGTTTTACATGTCTTAAAAACCTGTTGTCTTGACTCTTACTGTCCTATTCATAATTCTCTTTATATCTTGAAATATGACCAGCAGGGGTGTATAGGCCAAAATAGATTGATAACCATTGTTTTACATGTCTTAAAAACCTGTTGTCTTGACTCTTACTGTCCTATTCATGATTCTCTTTATATCTTGAAATATGACCAGCAGGGGTGTATAAGCCAAAATAGATTGAAAACCATTGTTTTACACCTGTGTTCTTAATGTCTCATTATTCATGACTATGGTTCTTATTTGTGTTATGTGTAATTATTTCCGGATTTGTAATTTATTTTTCTTCTAGGGTAGTGTTGGTGAGCAATTGATTGACAACACCTCATCCTCCTCAACAGAACAAAAGGGTTCAGATTTCACTTCATCAACACCACATGTGGTTGCAGATCCCTCATCATCATCCGAGAAATGTCCTGCCGACGTCTCTTTGTTGGCCGAGAAATTGGTTGCAGAGGTGCTGCCTGCTTCAGCAGCACAGCTTGCCATGATGGCTCCAAGTTCTGCAATTCCCCAGGATGTTGAAAACAGTCCCACAGAGATCCTGGATCCACCGCCTCCAGAATGTGCACAGGAGCAAATCGATTCCCTCTCAGCTCCTACCAGTTCTGAAGGTCAAACACTGGCAGCAGACCCCAGTACAAATGCAGAAAATACATCCTCTAAGACATGACCCGATGGAAAGTAAGTCATTCTCACCTGCTTTTTTTTTTTTTTTTTTTTTTTCAGTGATTCTTACAACAAATACTATCAAGATGACTAAACATCTTATCTGAAAAAAACAAACTCAATTATTACCTAAGAGTTTTTTTGTTTTTTTTTTGTTTTTTTTTTAGATATTAAACACTTTGTAGGATGGATAATTATGCTGTAACACGATTTGGAGAATTTTTCTGTTACAATGGGGATATATATATATATATATATATATATAACAAAGCAACTCACACTCAACAAAAATACATTTCAAACGAGTCACAACACGTCACAACACATTACATTGCATCTAGCCATATGGTTCTGTTAATATTTTGGCCTTTCACATGGTATGATGTCATAGAACCACATCTTAAACTTACGACCTGTATCTGCTATTCTGTAACCATTATAATTGCATAGCAATGTTCTATGTCAATATAACAAAATAATATCTTTAAGATGTCCATATAACAACTCTGAAGATGGCTCATGTGAGCTGAAAGCTTAGATCAAGGAACAACTTAATAAAATAATATCCAAATGTTGGACAATTTTTGTCTTTATTTTCACATGAAATTAAAGCAAACATACAAACATTAGAACGGCTCATGATCAGAAATAATAGACATTCATTGTCTGTTATATTTAACAATATATGAAATCATCTGTAGGTCTCAAACACCCAACAACTTCTGGGATAGATGTGATCTGTGTATTGTGTATACAAGGAAAAAATTGCAATAATCAAATACAGAAATGCCAGCCAATTGTTTAAGAAATGAACTGATTTTCAAATGTAAACGTAAGAAATTTAAAATTCCCTAAAAATGTTGGTTTCTTTTGGGGGAAGCACATTTGAAGTGTTGATTTGTTTATATGAGTGCTAGCACATATGGGTGTACATATATTCATGTGTATGTATGTGTGGGTGTGTGTTTATATTGTGTATCACACGGTTTTTTTTTGGGGGGGGGCGCATTTCTTTATATGTAGTTGGATCTATGACTGTCCTGCCAATGTATACAACATTTATAATCCTAAATTAACATCTTTTGTATTATTATTTTTACTTTTTTATTATTTGTATTTAAAATCCCTTCATTTATTTTTGATATTATTATCATTATTGTAATTTTAATTTATTTTTATTAAGGGCTGTTGTATTAGACTAACTAATCTGGAATTGTGTTGATTTGTCCTACTTTAAATAACAGCCATATTGGTCAGTTTGCTGTATATCCTGATGTACAAATTTCCACACTTTAAGGAAAAGCTTCTTGGCCGGGTCAGTCTATTTTAGGTTTAGTGTTACCCATTTAAACTTTTCCGTCTTCCCTTCCCTTTCCCCTCTCTCTCTCTCTCACTTTTTTAAAAGAAATTGACCATCCATTACTTTTCTTCTTCCTCCTCTTTCTTCTCATTTGCTTTCTCTTCCCCTGTCAATCTAATATATCAGTCCAGAGGAATTGTCTCCATTTACTAAAAGATTTGAGTCTGAAGAGATGAATATATATATATATATATATATATATAGGAAATAATTTATTACCAAACTTCTTGATTACTATTATATGTGTGTGTGTATATATATATATATATATATATATATATATATATATATATATATATATATTTAGTGTATTGGGACAGCAGATCATTATTCAAACATGTATTGTTAAATAAAACAGACAACAACAATGAATGTCTATTATGTTTGATCATGAGCCATTCTAAACTCCTTATATTTGCTTTAATTTTGGCAAAAAATAAAGACAAAAATTGTACAACATTTGGATATTTTTTTTTTTATTACGCTGTTCCTGGGATGTAAGCTTTTAGCTGACATGAGCCATCTTCAGAGTGGTTATATGGACATTTAAACAAAGATATACACCATCAAAGATGATGTTTATATATGTTTGAATAATATATATATATATATAGTTACAATAAAATAATTTAATAGTCTGTATTTTTGTTTATATGACGTTGGCTGCTCATATTATTTTTTCTAAATTTCTTTAAAGCTAATCTTAATTCTTCATCATTTTGGGAAGTTATTGTTGATAAATGTTTCTTTTATGATGCTTAATTCTGTATAAAACAATATGTCCAAAGAGGAAATCATTTTAGCATGATAAATCATGTTTTGTACAACACCTATTTTATATCTCTCTGGACATTCACATTTATAATTAAGTAAATATGAATGTTTGCTAGTGTGTTTTTTTATAATACCATCAATATTAGCATGTACTAAAAGATCCAGGTAAGGATTTTATTTTTAATGTTGAGTTCATAATTGAATTATAGAATGGATTTTTAATTCAGCTTTGTTTTCCATTAATATGAAACTGTTGTCAGTATATCTGGCATATATTGAATGTCTGTTGAAATTATTGTAAACCTTGTTTTTACATCATTCATTTAGAAATTAGATAAATTATATACACTACAGTTCAAAATTTTAAGGAAATCTTTGGTAATCTTTTAAATTGGCCTAAAAAGTAGTTGTTTTGTACTTTAAATAAGAGAAAATTATTATACATGATTAAAAAAAAAGTGAGCTATGATATTTTATTAGAAATTTTATTATGACAAAAAAATAAAAGAAGCATTTTATGATTAAATTTTGCTCTCATCAAAATATCCTCTTTCAGCCTTGATTACTGCAGCACAAACTTTTGATATTCACAAAGTTTCTCAAAGTATGAGTTTAATAATTGATTCCATTCTTTTTTTCAATGACTCTAAGAGTTCTTTTTCATTTTTGTGATGCAAAAGGTTTCATTCTTCTGCTAAGTTAATTCCATGCTAATTCTAGGGGTGGCTTCAAACTTTTGTACTGTAGTGTGTATATATATATATAGGCACCAAGTATTCATCAAAACAAATTTGATTAAAAAAAGAACCCACAAGGTAAGTCTGTTAAATATTCTATTTTATTTTTCCAATTTTTGAATAAGGTGTTGAGTATTGAGTTCAAAGTTGTGGATAAATTGTCTGAAATTTATGCCAGACTATTTCAATCTTCTAGCTTTCCAAAGAGTACCAGGATATGGACAAAGGAATTCCAACTACCACACAGATACCACATTGGTTCTTGCAAATGACTACGATGGTTGAAAGTAGTTGAACAAAACAATAACAAATGTAGATTAAGCAACTGGATGGTCATCAGTCATCCTTTGATTTCTAGGCTTTTAGGGACTATTCCCAGTGCTCTGATAATGATCAGTATGTCTGTCACCTTTATGTTCCAGAGTTTCAGGTCCCTAGCAAGATTGAGATACTTACCTATTCATTTTGTTTTTTTACTTCAGGTTTCATTTGAAGAATGCCAAAACAAAACAATAATTATTGGTTGGTCGGTGGATTTAATGACATATCAGTTGGTTGTTCATACAAAAGTCTGCAAGCGTCTACATGGAAGATGTTCCCTTTTGGTGATGTAGTTTACTCCTCTGTAGCAGGTGCATTTTTTAAACCCTGTCAACAATATAGATTATATAATTAGTAGCAAATATACCAACTGGACTAATGTTTTATAGTAAATTTCATAGTATTTCTAATGGTATCCAATAATTAAGTAATTTTGCAATTACATTGTTTATATTTTACACATGACTAATCAAGGATTTGTATCTCTACAATTGATTCTATTGTCACATGTAAGAAAGAATTCTGCTTTTTAAATCATTTAAAGTCAAAAATACCAAAAGAAAACAAACAAAAGGCCATTTATTAATAGCCTGATCTTCCCCACTTACTAATGAGATCTTAGAATGTTAACAAGAGATAGGTTTACTTACATTATTGCCAATCAGATAGATAAGGATATGGGGCCAATAAATTGATATTGTGCATTAAATAATCAATTTATAATTTAAGATATAAAGAAGTAGAGGACAGGGTAGGTTGTGCTAGAGGTACTTTTGTCCAAGTGACCTACAGTCTGTTGTTAACTGGGACAAGGAATGGCTTGTTAATTTTACTGCCTCCAAAACAAAACTTCTCTATCAATCACCTTAAATACTCTTTCCTGCCTCCCATCAGCATGGCTGATGCTAACCTCCATGAGAGTAACTTGTTGCACTTTCTTGAGCTAACATTCTCCACTGAAATGAAGTGGAAACGATTATATTGAATCTATTGCTAGATCTGCTGCTAAGAAAGTTGGTTCTCTGTGCCGTGTTAGACAATTTTGCCCTCCAGAATCTATCTTACATATTTATAAGTCTACTATTCATCCATGCTTTGAATATTGCTGCTACATAGGGTCTGGTGCTCACGCTATATATTTAGAGATTCTTGATAAAATCCAAAGAAGAATCGGCAATATTATTGGTCCTGATCTGGCATCTCAGCTTCAGTCACTTTCCAACCACCGTAAAGTTGCCTCCCTGTGCCTTTTCTATAAATACTTTCATGGTAATTCTTTGGATGACTTCTTCAGTTATGTTATCTAGACTTTATGAATTTAAATGCAGTACTAGATTGGCAACAAGGGCTCATCAATTCACAATCGAATTGGCGAGATGTTCTATGATAACAGTTTCTTTTTTCATAGTTCTCACTTGTGGAACTCTCTTTCAGCTCCATGATTTCTTGCCAATTTTGATCTTCAAAAGTTTAAATGCAATGCCAATTGTTATCTACTGTCCTCCTGATTATTGTTCTTCTATTGTTTTTTCTCCTTTATAATGTTTCACCTTTTTCTTAACTTTTCACACTCTGTAACCCCTGGTGTCTTAGTGGCTTTACTGTCTTGCATGGGGTGATATGATTAAAAAAAAACACTGTAAGATTCTGCCAAACCGGAGTCCTGTTCTTTAATAGTCTCATCAGATATAAACTTTTATATTGATCCAAACAAAAGAATTCTCCAAATCTTAAAATGATTTTTCATTAGACCCTAAAGATTGGTGCTACAGAATCACAAAGTCCACATCATTTGAAGATCAGCAACAACAA